AGGCTGCGTTCATGGGACAGCCGGGTTAACCGCGCTGAGTGGAGAGTGAACCAGTGAGCTGGGACGCGTGTGCCGGGCAGACTTGGGTCCTGGCCTGAGCTCTGGACCCTAACACCGCACAGATCAGGGCCACGTCCACTTCTGTGATGACCATGGCCGCCTCCTGAGCCCCGGTGTGCGGCAGATGCTGGGCAGGCTCGGAGCTGGCCTCCACTCCCCGAAGCATTCCCTAGCCACGCACAGAACCAGATTTGCTGGAGTGCGGTTCAGTGTCACATTAAATTTAAAAGCTGTGCCTACAGAGAAGGCCGGCCTGCTGAGGGCCAGAGAATTCCAGACCGCTGCTGTCACTGGACAGCATTGCCGGAATCGCCGGTAAGAAATATGGTTCTGACCCAGGCTGCGTGTCACGCTGCAGATTGTCCTCTCCTGAGTCACAGAACGCGCTGTGAGAAGGACCGAGCGCCGGGCCCTCGGCGCTGGCCGTCCCACCCCTCAGAGTTCAGCCAGGAGCGGACGGCCTCGGCCGTGTGGACATGTTTACTTCTGGCCGAGGAAAATACTGCGGTTGCCCGGCTCCCTTCCCGCCGAGGCACTGGGCTGGAGACGTGTATTTTATGTCTTCCTTTGATGATTCACAAATAAATTAGCACGATCCGAGAAGGTCTGCCAACATCTATGCATTATGGGAGAAATCCGAGATGGTGAAAAATGATCGTGATTTATTGTATTCCGATACTTCCTTCTTAAGAACCAAATAAATATCACCGGCTAGTTTATGTCCCTGACATATTTATTGCAGAATTCCCGCCGAGGACTTCCCATTGTCCTGTGTTCTCACACATTGTTTTCACAAATTGTGGCTTGAAGAAAGGCGGGGAAATTCAGGCTGGAGAAGCAAGATGTTATCTTTCGGGAAGGATGAGCCCTCTCTAATGGGAGAGGGTAATCCGTTCAGTGGCTTGGAGAGCCCAGTCCCGCCGGGGTGTGATAAATCCACAGGATCTGGAATCCAGGACTGCCCTGGGACCTTGAAGTCAGCACGGACAACTTAGTCCTGTTCCAGATAAACACAGTGTATCATTCCCGTTGGATAAGCACGGACATCTGCTCAGTCAAGTTTGCCCTGTTTTCCTAGCGGGCGGTTGGATTCGCGGAGCACTGTTCTAATTACGTCCATCACCAGGGGGCCCCAGGTGCCTGATGCCAAAACCCTTACCCAGCGTCTCTGTGCTTGGACGTCGGATTCCAAACAGGGACCGAGTCCCCTGCTCCTGCAGGTGGGTCCTTTGCGTGCAGAGTGCCCCGGAGACCCCGTCCCCAGAGGCTCGAGGACTGTGCTGTTCTCAGAAGATGAGAATGTGTGGGACAGCTGGCTCCTTTGTTTGTGCAGAAATCTGCTCGGGTCTTGAGTAATCCTGTGGGGTGGGAGGAATCGGAGTCTGCTCACGGAGCAGCTCCCCGCCCCGCACCCTTGAAGCCACCCATTTGCCCCGGTCTGCACATCCCCTCTCAGCAGGTTGAACTGTAAGCTGTGCAGCTTGCAGCCTGGAGGGACACTGCTGTCTCACAGACAGTCGCCGAGATCACACCTGCACGGGGCAGGCAGAGCAGGCTGTCTCTCTGGTGCCGCACGTGTGCATTCGTTCGTTCGTCCCTTCCCTGCAGCACCCTGCACAGGCCCGGCTGGCTCCCAGGTCACAGCAGCCGCCTGTGGGCGCTGCTGTCACACCTGTCCTTGACCCCTCCCCATCCTCTGCATTCCTGGGGCACTGAAGGCCTCCCCAGCTGAAGCCCACCCCACTGAGTTCGCAGTGAGCCCTGAGGGGCTGGAGGTAGGGAAAGGTGCTGCACGGAAAGATCAGGAGAGCATCACAGCCCTCCCCAGGGCCGCCTACAACAGTGCCTCATGCTGCCTCCAACGCCAGCAGCGAGGAGGCCTGGAAGGGGACTCTTCTGGCTTGGAAGGGACCTGAAGCCGCTGCTCAAACCTTCGCAATCGTCAGAGGAAGGTGACCAGAAAGCCACGCGGAGCTGCTCCTCCTCCCTGAGTTTTGCTGCCTGTGTGATGCTGGTGGGTTCGAACTGCACCATGGGTCCTGAGCGTTGCTCCAGCGGCACCTGTCCCCGAGATCGCCTTCCAACAGGACGGCTGCAGACACGAGAGAAAAGGGTTCTCCCAGTGTGACTGCTGGCGGACCTACGCAGCTCTTCAGATGTGTCCAGCAGGGCACTGAGAACGTTACCCCGGCAAGCAGCCCTCCCGCGGTCATTTCATGTTTTCCTGTCTACAAACAAGAGCCGTTGTCTAAGCCGCTGCCTGGGCTTACTCTGAAAGGCCCACAGAGCACAGCGCGTGCTGGCTGAGCACCGGTGCCGGCACGGTTTCCGAGGGGTGGGCCGGGCTGGGAAAGACAAGATTGACTAAAATACTGTTCAGTCACAGCAGGATGAAGTGCTGGAGGCAGAAACAGAAACGACCGTCCTGGGACAGCAAGCCAGTGTGGTTAAGAGTGTTAAGTACCACGTGTTGCTTTGCTTTGTTTTTTGGAGACGGGGTCTCGCTGTGTACTTCAGGCCGGCCTTGAACTCACTGTGTAGCCCAGGCTGGCCTCCGAATTTGGGATCACAGGTGCACGCCACCTCACCCAGCAAGTACAGCTTTGGAGAGCGTGGACTGAAGTCACCCTCAGGCTGCCCCGCTGGCGCCGTGGGGCGAGCTGTAACAGGTGCCTGGGCCCCTTCCCTCTTGCTCTGTTTCAGGACAGTATCGTGTCTGGCCGTCGCTTGCTGAGCCCCTGTGTGCTGCCCTCCTCTCCCGCTGACCTAGCTCCCTCACTGGGGTCCTGGTCACCCCACCTTCCCCAGCAGGCTGAAGCAGGGAGGGTTGTGTCCAGCCGCCTGCAATGCATTGTGGCCCAGGCCCAGCCGTGGTTCTGGACGAGGGGGCCTCAGAGTCCAGGAAGGAGGGACACAGCAGTAGCTCAAGTCGGGCGTCCGCAGGGCAGGCACTCCTGCAAGCACAGCTTGTCCTCGGTGTCCTCGGGTCACCCGCCGCCCCAGGTCTTCCGGAGACCCCTGGCCAGAGCAGGATGAAGCTACTTTGCTGACACTCACTGCTTGTGTGGCCCCCCAGGGAGGCCGTGCCGGGTCCTTGGGGCTACTTCCTCATTAATTACAGGGAGCAGCAGTCACAGGCCGAGGGAGCGCCAGAGGAGACGCCCCTCCGAACCGTGCTGGTCACCTGAGTGTCCCTGAGGCCTGAGCAGGAGGGGCGGTGGCATGGGCACCCCGGGGCTGTGCCCAAGTCACACAAGAGGCCCTGTCACTGACGGTGGGGGGGTCTGCTTCTTGCACCCTCAGGACGTGGGAATACAGCAGGGGGCATCATCTGGGTGGCTCCCGCAGGCTGGCAGTGGCACGGGACGATAACGACACTTAACACCTGTGTACCACATTTTCTTATTTTATTTGACCCTCAGAGAAAACCCAGGGCGAAAGCTGTAACACATGCCCTTATTACATAGGTGCCAGGGAGAGGGCTGGGGCCATAGCTCAGGCAGAGCCCTGGCATAGTGCGTGAGGGCCCTGGGTTGGAACCCTGGCACTGTAACAAACTAAACAACAAAGGCGTCCAGTGACCCAGGCACTGTAGCCTCACGCACAGCTGTTGCTGCTTCCCTGTGGACACTGAACAGCGTGTGTCTTTTCAGTAGCAGCTTGGAACCTCGGCCTCTTTCAAAAGCAGACCCACCAGATTCCTCTCTAGAAAATAGTGTGATCACTAGGCGTGGAGGTTTGTGCCTGTAATCCCAGCAATTGAGGAGGCTGAGGCAGGAGGATCATTAGTTCAAGGCCAACCTGGGCAACGTAGTGAGAACATGTCAGAGGAGAGAGGAAGGAGAAGGGGAAGGAGAGGAGGGGAGAGGGCAAAGGGAAAGGAACGGTGTGGTGTTCTGTTCCCAGCAAGCCTTTTATTTTCTGTGAAGACTGTAGCTGGGAGAATAGACAGCCCGAGGGAACCCCCACCCCGGCTGTCGTGGTCCAGAGCAGAAAGGCCGCAGTGTGCAGTGGAGCCGGGTGCTGGCCACCGACCTGAAGCCCTGAGCCTGGCCCGGGACTTTGGATTTTCTGAACAATAGAAACACAACTTCTGGGGGAGGGAGAACAATGGCGGTCTGACACATGGAACGAAGACGGAGTCTGGCTGCTGATTCAGGTCTGGGCGCAGCGTCCTTACCCAGAAGCAGGGCCTGGGCGGCTCCTGCAGGGGCGGCTGGCCAAGCGTGGCCACTTGCATATGCCCGTCCTGTGGGGTTTTCTGCAGAAGGGCACTGTGTGTGGGACTTCGAACGGAACCAGCAAACAGAAGCTGACTCCAGTGGCCACAGCACCCTTGAGGTCGGCAAGCCCTGGAAAGGGGGCGGGGCTGGGAGGCTCCTGCTTCCCGTCACCTTGGAGGCCTGGGTGGCAGGGCCGGGCCACGGCTGCGGGTGCCCTTTCTGGACCCGGAGTCTCGGAGCCGTCACTCGTGAGCTCGGGGTGGGGGTGCCGGCGTCTGCACAGGGAGCCAGGAGAGTGCTCTGAGAAGCTGAACACCAGCCCGTCCAGTGCCACTGACCCCGGGGAGGAGCCGCAGTGACGATGGCACGGGCGTCCGTGGAGATGCGGCCACGGGCGGGAATCTGCGCGGCAGCGACCACCACAGATCCCTGGTGAGCCGCGGCGCCTGCGGGGTGACGGCAGAAAGCGTCCCCTGGAGCTCGAGATGACGTGGGTTACATCCTCGCCCTTTTAGGGGACCCAGCCCAGGACCAGGTGAGGGGTCACCCTCCATCCGCCGTCCCTTCCAGAGCTCGCTGCGGACGGCAGAGGGCTGGGGGCAGCAGATGTGGTGGAGGACGAGGGAGACGCCGTGTTGCTGGGGGCTCACTGAGTGCCGGGAAACACGGGTGAAGTCAGAGCCGAGGGGCCTTACTGTGGGGCTTCTGCAGGTGCAAGTGCTGCCCAGGAGGGAGCAGCTCCTGCGAACAGCGCCTTGAGGTCACCTGGCCCGAGGGCTTCACGCCTCTGGCCTGCACTGCGACTTCTGTTGAGAGCCCAGGGTGTGTGCCTGCCCAGCCAGCTGGACTCGCTGTCCAGGTCAGCCTGCAGCAGAATCGCCTCTTCCACGCCTGGGTCCCAGCGGGGAGGCGGAGGCGCTGAGATTGTAGCAAGCCTCCGAGCGAGGGAATTCAATTGTGGATACAAATGTCAAGGCGCAGCTCTCCCTGCAGCACCAGCTCCCTGCTCACTGGGGCACGGTGTGACGCCCCATTGCAGGCCCAGCCAGCCTAGTGTGGGCTGGTAATGATCGAGCCGGGGAGGGTGACCTTCCTGGGAGGCCTGGGAGGGCTCCGCCAGCTCCTGTGTGCCAGACATAGGCACGCTGTGTAGCCCTGGTCCCTGCCGTGTGGCCGCGATCTCCTGGGTCTACAAAGCCTGTATCTTAAAGTAGTTCAGGACCCTGGCTGGGGAGCGTGTGCAGAGGCGGGAGAGGACAGGACTCCGCACGGCCAGCAGAGGGGCCAGCGTGGCGTGCGCGGCGAGGGGCCCAGGAGCACCAGCACAGACGGGAAAGTCAGTGTTTAGACAGCAAGGTCCAAAGCACCCTCCCGCCAGCCACGGGAGCGGGGAGCGCTGCAGTAAATCGACACACGGCTCTCATAAAGAATGGAGAGCCCTGCCCAACGGAGAAAAAAAATACCCAAAACATAGCTGCAGCAAAGACGATTTCCCCCCAGCTGAACTTAATGCAGTGCGTATGTTATATTGTGCCACATCCATCGCGTTTGCTTAATGAGGTGTTCATACGCTCAGAGACAGGGCAAGGGCTGAGAGGCATCCTCGCGCCGTGCTGCCCAGAGCGGTAGTCACACACACAGCGAGTACTCAGAGCTGCAGCTGGCTGAACTGGGAAATGAAAGGTCGGTTATGAATTAATCTCCAGCACTGGGGATGGAGGCCAGGGTCTCACACCTGCTGAGCCCAGCCCATCTTAAATTGTACTCCGAGACGGGGTCTCTCTGGGTTGCCCAGGCTGCCCTTGAACTTGGGATCCTCCTGCCTCAGGCCCCTCAGTAGCTGTGGGTAAGGGGTGCGCCACCATACTTTACTCAGTTTATTTAATTCTGATTACTTCTAGTCTACTTTAAGAGCCGGCACTTTATCCCATTACTGGGAAGCTGTGAAGTCTGTCTGCAGCAGCTTTGCCGTTGTGTCTCTTGCAACCAGATGCGCTTCTCCAGCTGTCCATGAAATCTCAACACAGAGCACATGTGCCCCGTGCACCCAGGTGAATGTGTGTTACAAGTGCAGAACCCAACCAGATACCAAAGACGGTACAAAAATAATAAAAACTGGAGCCAGGCGTGGTGGCACATGCCTGTACTCCCAGCCTGAACTGCATAGCTAGAATTTGTCTCAAAAAGACACACACAAAAAAAAAAGAAAAATGATAATTCTACATCTCAGTAATTTGATAATATTGGTTACATGTGGAAGTAATTATTTATTGAAATAATTATATATTAATAATTATTGATTTAAATAAATGACAAAAATGAACTGCAGCTGTTTCTTTTTACTTTTTAACACAGCTCCTAGAAAACCTTACATCATACACACACACACACACACACACACACATACGTGCACATACGTAGCACGGCTCCCTTGCACCTCACAGGAAGCTCAGATCCGTGACCTCAGGGACCTGCACCGCCCTTAGGTTGGGGCAGAAGGGGCTGCCTCCCTTTCCTCATTTTACTTTGTGCGTTTGAGGCTTCTTTGATTTTGTTACCGAAGTCTGTGTTCCTTTCATAACCTACAAAGAACAGCGAAGAGCTTTAGCTCATTGCAGCAGGTGTTAAGGTCTCTGATGCATCTTGACCAGCAGGTGAGTGGGCGGATCCTCCTCTAACTCCTCTCTTCTGCCCCACAGTGGGTCGGGCGCAGCAAGTGCTGTGCTGTCCGTGATTATGAGCCAGACCTGGGCTCCCCGGGAGGTACCAGCCTGACCCTCGTGGTTGTGGTTACTGCCGGCCTCAGGGGTCCCTGTCCTTACAGCCACCGCTGTGCAGGACAGGGGCTGGGTGTCAGCGAGCTGGAGTTCCACCCAGGAAAAGGGGAAAAGAATAAACAACCCTGCGGACACCTCCCCTCCTCGCTCCAGCCCTCCTCCCAGGTATCGAGACTCCCAAAGCTTCAGGACCGGTTTGGAGGTTCCAGGCTAAACTTTCTGTCTTCTAGCTGATGGCCAGGATGCTTCCGCTGCCCAAAGACACGTCTGCGGGACATGGGGAGATGCCTGTGCTGACACGAACACCGAGGCTGCAAGGAGCTCATCTTCAAAGGAGCGCTGATGCGCTGAAGTCACCGAGCCAGAAACACTTGCTCCTCCGCGTCTCCCTGAAAGGGGAGGATGGGAGAGGGGGCGGGAGGCTGCACTCTGTAAGACCAGGCTTTTCAGAGAGGGAGCTCGGAGCTCGAGGCTTCTGCTGTTGGGGTGTTCGACTTCCCCTCTGACATGATTGACCCTCTGCTGGATTACGAGCCTTCCAAGGAACTCACTGGAAGCTCGGATCCGCGACCGCGGGATGACGCTGGGACTTGAGCCGCAGCTCTCGTGAAGCTCTGGAAGGCATGAACCCCACGCCCCCCACGCCCTGGACGGCCTTTCCACAGCCGCGTCGTCGGGTGGCAGGGCTGCGCTCTCTGAGCCCCAGGTCTCCTGTCCCCAAGGCAGCGACGTGTAAGCTGAGGCAGGGAGCACCGGAAGCAGCTTTTCTTTCTTCCCTTGGTGCTGGAGACTGAACTGTGGACTTCCTGGTGCTCAGCAGGGGGCCCAGGCCCAGCCTCAGGTGACTACTGCAGGATTTTATTTATTTATATTTAAATTGAGCCTCTCATCCTGGACTCAACTTTTATTTAATGTAATTAATTTAAACAGTCCCATGTGGCCCCTGGCTGCCAAGTTGGACAGCACGGCTCCTACGTCCTATCCTTAATACGTTTCCCTTGACTCGTTCTACTGTCTTCACTCCTCATCTCCTGTGCACACCTCTTTCAATAGTTTCACATGAAACAGTGTGTGACCTGCTTTGGCCAAGATCATCAGTGTCCACTTGTCACCAAAGCCAGTGTATCTGTTTTTAATACATTGTTCAGCACTACACCACAACCCCACTCCAAGCGGCTTCTCTTTAGTGGGGCGTCCCTTTCTCCTGGTTTTCCTCCGGACCTCTCTGGCTTCTACTTAGGCTCTCACTCCTTTCTCCAACTTTAGAAGGTTTGTGTTCACCAAGGCTCTCAGTTCTTGGATTCGTTTTCTCTCCCTTAAAATTTACTACCACACCAGGCATGGTGACGCACACCTGTAATCCCAGCACTCAGGAGGCTGAGGCAGGAGGATCCTTGCGAGTCTGAGACCAGCCTGGGCTACAAAGTGAGTTCAAGGCCAGAGTGAACTGCGTAGTGAGACCCTGTCTCAAAAAGACCAAAAACAAAATTTTTTTTACTCCCATAATAGCAGGGACAGGAAAAAGGAGTTACAATTAAGGGCTCTCCACTGCAGTTAGAATATGATCCTTTCTGTAACTTTTCTATAAGCAAAAGGCCTGACTGACCTACCACCAGCCAAACTTCTGGGCTCTTTACGCTCCACCCTCCCACTTCGCACAGCCCTGGTCTCACTGGCATTCCACCCTTTCGCCTCTTGGTGGTGTACTCCGTGCAGCCTTTCCCGGTTTGGCTCCTTCCCAGCCTTGTGTCTTGGTTTAAATATCACCTCTGAGGAGGCCTCTTATGACTACCTTAACCAAATCATATGTTCTAGTTTTTCCTCAGTTTATGCCTATTTGCGCGGACCGTCTCCTTCTGGAACAGAAAATCCAGTGAACACAATGGCGTTGATGCTGCCGGATGCCTCGTGCCAGCTTCCGGCCCGGCTCCGGATCTACAGTGGCCCTGCACAAAGCGTTCTCGGCCTGGCATCAAGAGCCGCATCTCCCAAGGTTGGCACAGAATCTGGGTCATCCTAGTTTTTCGAGGAATCTCCACACTGATTTCCACAGTGGTTGCACCAGTCTACACTCCCACCAGCAGTGGAGAAGGGTTCCTTTTCCCCACAGCCCCTCCATCATTTGCTATTGGTTGACTTCTTGATAACTGCCATTCTTTGTGGGGTGAGATAGAATCTCAGTGTTTTAATTTGTATCTCTCAAATGACCAGTGATGCTGAATATTTTTTCGTATATTTATTTGCTGCTTGTATGTCTTTATCTGGGAAGTGTGTATTCATCTCAGATGCCCATTTTTGGATTGGGTCTTTAAATTTGGGAGGTCTGATTTTCTTGAGTTCTTTTTTTTTTTGGTTTTTCTCCGGTACTGGGAACCGAACTCACGACCTTGCGCTTGTCAGGCAGACACTTTGCCACTGAGCTAAATCCCCAGCCCCTTCTTGAGTTCTTTATACGTTTTATATAGTGACCCTTTGCCTGAGGAACAGCTGGCAAACTTTTTTTCCTGCATTGTGGGTTGTCTCTTCACTCTGTGGTTCCTCGTCCTGTGCAAAAGCTTTTTAATAAGGTGAGATCCCAGGTGTTGATTCTTTGTGATAGTTCCTGTGCAATCGGGGTTTTATTCATAAAGTCTTTGCCTTCACCAGTGTCTTCCAGAGTTTTACCTATTCTCTCTTCCAGCAGATTTGATGTTTCTGTTTTAATATTTAGGTCTTTGATGCATTTCGAATTTGGTTTAGTGCCAGCTGGAGGATAGGGACCCGAGTGACAGATGGCCTGTGTCTGCCCTTCTCTCTCAGCATGGTTTCCGACCCAAGCTCGCGTGGCTGCCCTGTCAGCAGCGCCCCTCTCTGTGGCGGTGACAGCACGTGGGTGCATACACTTAACTTTTATTTTTCATGTCGTCTTCCCCATCCTTTTCCTGCAGGATCTGCGTTAGGTCTGGAGAACTTGCCGCAGCCCGGACAGTGACCTGTGACTGTCCCTATTCACACGGGGCTGGCATGTGGGCATGAGAGCCGCCTGGGGGCTACAGGTGCTTCATCTGGGACAGGTGCCCGGGCTCAAGAGGGCCGAGGCCAAGCAGTTCCCTGAGGATGAAGGAGAGACCTCGGGGTGCACGAGGAGGGGGCTCGACTTTGGTCGGTCTACCCAGCAGCAGAGTTCCGGTGGGCTCTTTGCACACGTGTGTCCCCGTCTAGAACAAGTGCTAGGTGATCTTTCCCAGAGCAGCACCTTATAAACTCTCCTGGACAGCCGGACACTCGGCCCCAGTGTCCCTGCTCACCACACTCGGGAGCTCAGGCGCCACGCGCACCCCTCCAGCCTCTTCCGGTGCCGCAGGGACTGTGCCTGCCCCCTGCTGGTGCAGGAGCGTGCCCCGGCCTTCAAGATGCGCCAGGCAACAGGCAGTGGGAGAGATCCTTTGCAAAAGGGAATGGGAGCAGCAGATGGGAGGAGAGGGGAAGGGGATGTAAGAGCAGTAAGCTCGTTAGGGCGGCGCCAGCTCCCCGTGATGGACGTGTGCATGTGCGCTGCAGAAGTGGACTCCTGAGACAACGGAAGACGCTGTGCCCAGCATCTCACAGCCCTCATCACTGTCCCCACCTCATCTAGGACGCTGCCATTCACCTTGTGAATGAAAGCGAATCTGGAAGCAGAGGCTCTGAGAGTTCTGGGGTCCAGCCCAAGGTCAGGGCCAGGACTCAGCAGAGCTCGCTCATGGTCAATCCCACTAAGATCATAGACCCTGGAGGGTTCTTCCTTGTTTGCCACCTGACTTGGCCTTGGTTTCCCTGTCTGTAAAGGGGGTGAATAACGCCCCACCTCAAACACTGTTGTGAGGTTAACTGCACGGATCCGCCTGCAGCACCGCAGTCTCCTGTGTTTACCGTGGTCACGGTTATTACCAGACTGCCTCCTAGGAGCACGAAGAGCAGGTGACCCAAGCAGACGCCACTTTCCTTGCTCCAAGAGATTCCTCCTGGCCAAGAAACAAGCTACTCGGCCTTCAGCCTGCTCCTCACAGCCCTGGGCTTATAGTAAGCAGCGGAGAGGAACCAGCCACTTCCAGGGCCGCATCAATCAGCTTCGGGTCCTTACATTAAAAGAAGCGTGAGAGGGCAGTAAGGGAGGATGGCTCTTTCCTGTCAGAGCCAGCCTGGGTTCCCAAGACAAAGCATTCCGTGGTCACCTGGTGAGCACTGGATTCGAAGTCCGCTGGCAGTGATATTTCGAACATGGAAACTGCGCCACCAGACCCTACCGGCTGCGTTCTGCTGCTGGAAGCACAGCCATCAGATCTGAGCCAATCTGAGAACCATCAGCAGCTCATCCTGAAGACTGCAATCGTCCAAGCGCTCGGCATCTGCAGGCGCCAAAGGTACCAGTGTGGCTGATGGCGATGTCGGGAGAGCCCTGGCACTGATGGCTGCTCTTCACCTGTAAACTGGTCATCCTTGCAGACTGAACATGTGTCCCCCTAAAATTCACACGCTGGAAACCTCACTCCCAGGGGGATGGCGTCAGGGGGCCTTTAAGGGTGGACCCCTTGTGAGGCGACCGGTGCCCCAGAGGGCTCTTCCCCGAGGACCCCGCGTGAGACGCAGCAACACCCCAGCACACTGCAGCCCGGGATGAGCCTGGCCACACTGCACCTGTTCTCAGACTCCTCCAAGCCGGGAGAAACCCAGGTCTGCCCTTTACAGGCCGCCGCAAGCCTGTGGGTTTTCTTATAGCACCTCAAAGGCCAGAGACCACAGGGCTGTGAAGCATGACAGCGTCTGTCAGGAGCTCACACATGGCGAAAGAGCAACCCCAGCCAGCAGCCCACGTGGGTGCCCGTTCCTGCCCTGCATGGGCCTCACTGTGCGCTACAGGGCCGTGTGCCCAGGTCTACAGCTCTGAGTCCTTGGCAAGAACTGCGGCTCTCCAGGCCTTAAGGATGGACAGTGTGAGGGAGAAGGGGCTCTTCCCGGAATCCCTGAGGCCTGACTTGGGGGCAAAACAAAATGAAACCAAACAGAAATCCTGACACACAGGACTGATGTCCAAGAGCCGTGGTCCTGGCGTCCCCAGGATACTTTTAAAGATCTCTGTGAAGACCCTCCGTCTTTCGGGTGCGGGGCTTTCACTGTACCCAGTTTATTAGCATCCCTCATCCCACGCGTTGGTAGAGGGCGCCGTTGAGCTCGTTATTTTGCAGTGGGGAAACTGAGATTCAGTGTCTCAGCGTTGTAGTAACAGATCCCTGATTACCGTCTGAGCCCGGAGAACCTCAGAAGGTCTACGAGAAGATCGCTGCTGTCTGTCTCACAGCAGCAGGTCACCTCTGGAGGACGGCTCTATCCACAGACTCATCCGGTCACTGTCACTGGAGACCACGCATCCTCACGAGTGAGGCTTCTGCCGCCTCGGGAAATGAGGATCTGGCTTGGTGTGTGGGGTCCTGGCCTTGGAAAAGCTCAAACCATGTGGCGGATTCGGGGTGAGCAGAGGACGGTCGCACTGAATTACTGAAGGCCTCTGCTGGTCCACTGAGTGATGGATCCGGGGAACCGTGTTGGAATAAACCCTAGCGATTTTGCGGAGTTTATTCCACCTCTTCTCCCAGGGTGCCGCGGGCTTCCCCTCCCCACGAGGGTGCTCGGGATGGGAGCACGGTCAGTCCTCTTCCTCCTGTGCCACGTCGGCAGGTCCCTGAGCCGAACAGAACAAGCCTGGCCATGTTGGCTGTTCCCACTCCTCCTCCGTGCTGCTGGCCATCCATTACCTGCTCTACAGGGCTGCCGGTGGGTGCTCACGCTCACGTCGGCTTGTCTGAGCCTGGGGTGGACGGACAATGGCTGCCCGCAGACGGGACGGTCACAGGCGTCCTGCGCTGTGTCCCGAATTCTCCAGTGACGGCTGAGAATGCCCTGGCCTCTTGGCTCTGCTTTACTGTGAGCACAGTTAGGAGCCAGAACAGCTGCGGATGCAGCCGGCAGCGAGACTCAGAACTGCTTGGTTCTAGGCTCAAGAAAAGCGAGATAAAAATTTTTAAAACTTTTAAATGCAGTGGCCAGTTACAGTTTATATTATTACATTTTTCGAACAGGCAATTAATTAAAACACTGAGTAGTAACTAGAGGAATATGCTCAGTCAGAAACAGAGGCTTTGGGAGGCAGTTTTTGAGCTTACTGCTTTTAAACTTAAGCTCGGGAGCTTTTTAACTTTCCCCTTATTTTTGAAGTTGCAGATCAAGGTTTCTCTACATTCGGGTCAGCAGCGCTGGTCCCGCTGAGCAGGTGCTGTTAGGAACAACACAGGCCCTGACCCAGCCGTGTCGGGTGTTGAGGCTGTGATGCGGAGGAGGCACGGCCAGGCCCCTGGACCTCAGGGACTGGAATGTCCCTGCGTCCTCGCACCTGGACTGTCCACTCCTGCTCCTCACCAGGACTCCAGCCTGGGGTCCTCTCCTGTTCTCCTGGTGATGCCACAGGCTCGTGCTGCCAGCCTCTCCCATCGCCGTGTTGGGCTTTTCAGCTCCCTTTGCCCCCAGCCCTTCCCTTGGCACTGGCCGTTGGGTGGCTGTCGGGAGTGAGACAAGGAGAAGCAGCTCCCGTTGCCGCTGCCCTGGGCTCAGGCGCCAGGGCTTGGTGTGTTCCATCCTACCAGATTTAACCCAGTCCATCCTTACCACTGAGGCATTGGTTTAATTGCTAGCAACACAGGGAAATGTGCTGTGTCTACACTCGTAGGGAGCAGATTAGGTGAACTGTGGTACACACAGGCCCTGGGAGCCTGGGCCGCCTTTGAAAAGAAGAGCTCTGAAAGTGAGGGTCTCGAATGCACTAAGTGAGACCAAGAAAGAAATAAAACAAGTTGCAGAGCTGTGCATGTGGTGTGATCTCATTCAGAGATACTTACGTCTGCGTAAGTGTACACACACACCCGTGTCCGTGTGTTGCATCTGAAAGGGAAAAGTTAGAGAAAGTAACCGTGAGTTTCGGAGGAGCCGTACAGCGAATGCCACCCTGATTTTAAGCTATCACTTGCTTTTACAACAGTAGGTAATCAGTTAGCAATGAAGGATGAATAGATACATAAATAGGAGAAACGTGGCATTTTGGGACTGCAGATCCAGAACTGTACAGCTCCTGAGTTTTCTGTTTTGTGGGTGCCATACTCCCTGTTCACAGCTTCCGAGCAGTAAGGCCCCAGGCTGACAGGTGTGTTCCCGTCCAGCTCCACAGCCTCGGGGATAAGGGGCGTTGCCCAGTTATGAGTCATCTGCTGCCTCCGTAGTACACACAGTGGTTTAAAGGTCTCGGGAGAGGCCCCAGCTCGCAGCCTTGGCTCTGCCCCCAGCTCTGCTCGGCCTTTGTGCCGTTCATCCTCCTTCATTCCCAGAGTCCTGGTCACAGGAGAGAGACCCACTTGCTGAGAGGAAGCCAGAGAGACAGCATCTAAATCTCACAGACTGGGAAACGGCTGGAGGTGCCCCGGCAGGTGAACACTGAAGCAGACCAGCAGCCAGGAAATCAAGCGTCCGCAGTCACTGCTCTGCGCTGGCTGCACGGCTGGCGGGCGGCTGCTCTGCTCTCCTGCTCCGCACTGAAGTTTCGAGACGCCTTCCAAGGCGTTCAGAAGCCGTCCCTGCATCCTGCGCAGGCTTGCTCTTCAAGCTCCGCTCTTGCTACATCCTGAATACCTCTCCAAACAGGGTCAAAAGAGTCACCGAAGTACCAGTCCCCCAGAGGAGGGACCAGCATCGCGACCGGGCAAGCCACACGATTAAGGAGCACTCAGAAGGCAGATGAAAGTTGCTTGAAAGGCTTCAAAGTGGAAGGCGAGCCTAATCCCCCAAAGCTTCCTTTCAGTCCTTACTCCTTCATTTCAGAAAATGCCCCCGGGCTTTTACAAAGCCCAAGTATCACTTTACAGCTTGGAAGTCATCCTAAGAGCGCTCCCGGTCTCAGAGCATTCTCCATTCCTTCAAGGACTTCGCGAGGCTGGGTCCCCTTTGCAAGGAGCTGGCGCTAGAGGACAGTGGCCCTGCTGTCCTGGGTGCGGGCCCAGGGCTCAAGGGTAATGAGCACCTGGGGATTCCCTCCAAGCAGCAGTCAGGCCTTCTCCCCGTGATTTCTGGGCGAGACTCATGGGTCTGTCACCACATGGAAGAACGCCCAGTCCTGCTACTAAGCAACCCGGGAGGGGAGAAGGAATCCACATGAGGAAAACAAGGCCGCTGGGCACGGTGAGGGGCCGCTTCCCGCTGCTCCGAGAGCAGTGCTTGCGCCTCCGTCGGCCCCAAGAGAGCAACTCTCTCCCGAATCTTCCACTGCCCAGGGAAATGTTCAGCGTAACCCACAGCCTGGTCAGCACCAGGAAGGTTGGAGGCCGGCGGTGTGCCCAGATCTATGCCCCAGGCCCTACACATAGCATCGGGGCAGAGGCTCTTTTGGGTTAGCTCTTCTTCACAGCTGAGAGTGGGGTGGAGATGGGCTCCTGAAGGGTCTCCACTGCTTGGCCTTTGACCGGGGCCCAAACCCAGGTCTGTCCCTGAAACCTGTGCCGAACACCCTGGGAAACAGCCCAGCTGGACGCGGGGCTGCCCATCGGTGGCGGGACACCGTGGTCATCGGCAGTGGCTCTGGCGCCCTGGCCTCGAGATCGCATCTGTTGCCGCCTCTGTTCTGCTTCCCTCCTCTCTCTGCAGCTCAACCCCAGCCTCCAGCGGGCCACACGAATGGGTGTCTCCCGGGTCCCCCGAGTTGGAGGGGAGGTGACAAGAGTCCCTGTCTGCCTCCCTCCCGGGATGGGATGCAGGCCAGCAGGGACCACGGCCCCGAGGCAATCACAGGGACCCTGCCCCCAGGCCTCTCCTTTAGAGAGGAGATAAAAATAGTGAAGAAACAACACTTCCCTCCTTCCCTGAAAGGCTGGCAGCCTTCCAGGATGGACTTATGTACTTTTTGTACTTGGAGGAAAAAAAGCGATGGGATTTGGTCCAAGAACGGCCCTGCGAGCGGGAGAAATATGGAGCCGGCAGCTGGAGCGAGGCGGCCAAGTGGTACCGCCAGCTGCAGGCCCATTAATTAGCGGGCCTGGTATGCAGCGGTTCCCGTGACCCTGATTCTTGTTGAATTCGCAGAGATAATTTTCACAGACCTGACTTTTCTCCCTGCCGTATATTTATCCAAGAGGTACCTTGCCTGTTCCCCTCAACTCTCCGGGCAGTAAATTTATTCTAATTGCAAAGAGATAGAGTAAAAGCCTGATTGAACGCTCGGCGGCTTGCAGAGATTTATTTCTGGGGCTTAAGGGGTTTTTAGAGTGTGTGGCGAGGGTAGGGATGGGGGGCGCTGGGGAAGGGAGCCCGGGCGAAAATGTAGATTTAATGGATCTATAAAACGACCCGGCTGTAGACGAAGGCTCTCTCAAAGCCACGGTTTAAGCAGCCTGACCCTCACCCAGGCTGCGACGGGCGGTGTCTGGAGGGTTTTGGGGTTTCTGGGTGAAAGGTGTCATTCCCCAGGTGGTGGGGGGTCATCTCTTTTCCAGTGGGAAGGAAGCTCATGAACCACACGTTTCTTAGTATGAGAGCAAACCTCAGCACCTGCCCTTAGGCCCCGGCCGCTGCCTGACGCCCTGAGAGCCACGCTTGGGTTTTAAGCCCCGTTCTTGGAGGGCGCTCAGGACAGCCAGGCCTTTGTCCCCCAACTTCTAACCCTCACTCGCTTGTGGAGAGTCGACCCCTGGAGCCCAGCCTTCCAGGCTCCTGGGGATAAAGAGGCCTCTACTCTCTCACCCTGCCTGGGGCTGGGCTGAGGCTCGCTCTGCTGAACTTTTCCCCCAAAGCCATCCGGGCTTCTGATCCCAGGAGTGACATCCGTCTCCTTTGCAGCTGCTGTGCAAGTTGTGCTGAGGATGAATTTAGGACTCAACTATTCCGTGGGCTCCATTGTAAATCTAATCCCGGCTGAAATGGAGACGCTTGCTCTGCAGGAAGAGGCCTTGCTGGGGGAGCAGGCCGGACGGAGGGCAAATGCACCCCTTCTTTGGTCACAGACCAAGGGACCGGGGTCGTGTCAGAACCACCCTCACTTTTGCTTTTTCCAGGAATTGGCAAAAGAAGACGGGGAAATCATCCTTTTGATGGTGAGGTATGACACCCGAAATAATGCTGCCAGAAGGCCTGGTCACCGAGGGGGAAGGCCCTGTTGGGAGCTCTGTCCCCAGAGCACCTGGGCGTCCGGAGTTAGGCGCGACCACGGCTGCCCAGGAGCGGCACCTGCGCTTAGGGCTACCACTGTCCCCACTCCGTGTGCGGCTGTGTGGACCACACTAGTATCAGCGCAGGCTCCTCTGCCTGTCCTGGTGCCCGTGACTTCCAGCCTGGGGACACTGCCAACCACCTGGATGTTGGTTGCAGTGGCAGTCCTGGCTGGTGTCCTGGACACAGGGGACCCAGCGTTTGCTGTGTTAGTGGCCACTCCCATCCTGAGCCTCCTCCTCCACCCAAGAGCTCAGGGTCATGACCGATGGCCCTGTTCCCGGGTCAGGGCCAAGGCATCCCTCGCAGCCTCAGCCTCTTAAGGCATGGGCTGCACTCGGCTTTTCTTCTTTTCCTGCCTCACCTGTGCATCCCCGTGACTCCTGGGCCCCAGTGAGCTTCCTTCGTCCATGTCCCTGTCTCCTGGGAACCTCCAGGGATCACAGTGCTGTGTGACTCCTCAGGCCCGTGGCCTTCAGGAGAAACCTGCCTTGTCGGGATCCAGGGTCCTCTGACTCTTCCTGGGGAGACAGGAGGAAGAGCTGGTGCGTTCCGGACATGAGTGACATCTCTAGCACCCTTGGTTTCTATCCTCTGCTCTGCAGTGGGAGACAAGGCACATAGGGAGCAAACACATTTCCTACCCGGCTTCTGGTCAGGACACAGCTGTATGAAGAACGTTCATGCTGGCTGTGTGTCATCGAAGTTGTGTGTCATCACAGCTTCATTCTGCACAAGTGTTATGGACACAGAGCACCCTTGGTTGTGGTCCTGAAACGGGGGTAGGAGCTCACTGGGGAAGGGAGCAGAGGGCTTCACAGGCAGAGTCAGCGAGGAGCCAAAGGGGAGGCTAGAACATCACCATGCCCAGCCTGCATCTCCCTGGGGTCTGCTTTCTCCAGGAAGGCAGCAGGCGCGGAGAGGAGCCTGGAGACCCCAGGTCAGGCTTTTGGTCCTCATTCCCTGCACATCTGGGGCCAGGGAAAATGCGGCTTTAGGGCACAGCGGAGAAGGTGCAGGCCAGTTGGAAGGAAGCAAGGGGGGCGCAGACCGGCGGTGAGAAGTGAATTTCCTCTCAGCATGGGGCTGTCAGTGGGACCATCGAGAATATTTCTCACCAGCAGCACTTCGCAAGCGTCCTGTGATGCTTTTGCTTCTTAGAAGCCGAATTACCCTGCCCCCAAAGCCCCCAAAGACTGTGCTCACACGTAGAAGGAGGCCAGGAGTTGGGGCCGGGGGCGGGCCATGTGTCGTGTGCCGCACCCTGCACAGTGGGCACCTGAGCCACCAGAAAGGATGGCAGGGCACTGGGATGTCCAGGGCGCTGGCTTCAGGCCACATCCCAAACCGTCCACCCTGCCCGACTCAGACTCAGCCTGTGCTGAGAAGAAACCCTGGCTCCTGGGGCACCTCAGCCCCCTCCACCACACCAGGGCACGGAGTCCCTGGGGGGAGTGCAGGGCCCCCTCGGGTTCACCCCAGGGCCACCCACACCCACAGCCTCGGGACGGTGTCTCTGCAAGTACGGGGCTCCTGAGGACACCTTTGTGCCTCCCCCTCCCCCTGGGCCTGCGTGACAGCAGAACACGCCACATAAAGGCAACTCCACATCTGCGCGTGTGCCAGCCTAGGCTGCACAGCACGTTCTGAGGGAGGCAGGGGTCGGTATTTTTACGAGAAGCTCTCAGGTGTGTGAGAAATGTCATTCTGACTGTCTGAGACTCAGCCGAGGTCTGACTCTGGTGCCCCTCTGAGGCCTGCGAGGTCAGCCGGCCGCCTCCCTCTTCTCCAGTCCATGGGCTGAGGCAACAGCAAGGCCTGGCCTCGTCCTCATCTTCCGTCTGTACGGCATATTTATTGAACACTCCCCCATGCCAGGCCTCTCCAGGAGTAGACTGACAGCAATGCACAAAAAGAAGTTGTTATAGTTTAGATCTGGACACTACCCCTGAGCCGCCTGTGCTCAGAGGTGGGGCTTTTGAAAGGTGTTTGGATTATGGGGTGATATAGCTAAATGTGCTCTTAGGAGACAGGGCCTGCACAGAAGAGGCAGGTCACTGGGGGTGTGACCTGGAAGTGCTTATCTCCCTTACTGTTTCCTCTCTTCTCTCTCTCTGCTTCCTGTCTTCCCTGAGGTGAGCAGCTGCCCTCCACCAGACCCTTCCAACATGCTCTTTTTGCCTGGAGTCTGACCACGCAAGGACTGAATCTACTAAGCCGAAGCAAACCTCTCTTCCTTTAAGCTGCGGGTGTTGGGTATTGCGTCTCAGTGACGGAAAGGCAACTAAGACAGAGCTAAAGTGCCTACTCTCCATTCCAGGACCTCAGGGAGGAAGCTTCACCACAGTTGGGGCCAGGCTTCACCTGGAGCATAGAGCCTTCCCTGCTCAGCCAGGCTCCAACAAGGAGCAGGGAAGAATCTTCTGGAAGGCTCTACACTCTTCCCTATGGGGGCATCTCCTAAACTCATCACTTCTCAGAGGCAGCTGCCCCAGCCTGTCCTCCATATATCAGCCCCCAAGGACACTCCAACTACCAACCCCTTTAAAAATATAAGATAACGTCAATATTATACTGTAGACTTGGAACTATATGGTGTACACTGAAGACTCCTGGGAGGCTAACAGGCCTCAGGCACATAGATGTGCAGGGTCAGTGTCCTTCACTGTGAAGACAAGTCTTGGGTCCAGAAGTTTTGTGCCCCTCTTTTTTAGGAGGGCAATCCTCTCGTTTTCAAGTCCCGGTCTTGAGAGTTTAAACACCCTCTGACTCTGCAACACCTCCACTTGGGCAGCCTCATCTACGGTGGTCAAAACCCTTCCCGCTGGGCCAGGATGTGATTTCTAGCTGCCCTCCCCTGCACACTGTCTGCATATATGCAGTTTGGGCTGGGTTCTCCCACCACACACGGTGTTGGAATCTCAAAATCCTCTCCCCCAGGCTACTGCTTTTCCTGACACCTCTCCTTCTTTGCATGGACTCACTTCTCCACTGAATGTGCTGAGTCTTTCCTTTTCCTTGTCCCCACATCTGCATACCTCGACACTGGACAGAGCTCCTCTCCACAGTCCCGTCCATTGCTCCCTCCTTCCCACCTGTCCACCAGCCCTCTGGTTCAGACCCTGCTCAGCGTGGACCTGGGTCCTTGCCATAGCCGCCATCTTGGGTCCCTCACTGTGGAGTCTGCTGTCTCCTTCTGTGGTTGGATCCATCTTGCTGGATGCATTTTCAGTCTTGTCACTGATAGTAAGGCCCCTGAAGACACAGACTGTGTTTTACTCATTTTTATATCTCTAAGTCTAACACAGTACCTGGTACATGGCAGATACTTAGTAAACCTGGGTTGAATTGGTTATTTCTCTGCTGAAATGTTTCACAGGCTTCTTATTCTCTACAGAGTGAAGTTCTGCCCTGCCATCTGAGTCCCCCACGTGGTTGCCACTTAATCCCTGCTCTCATTTGCCCTTGGTACCAATGTCCCCAAAATTTACTTGAATCTCCCCTAAGCTGGACTGTTATGCAAGCATGTAAAATTATAGTTGGGCTTATTCATTGCATTATTCTTTTATATTTCATATGTTTGAGATTTCCATATAAAACTTTTAAAATGTACAGTTACCAGTCATGCCTAATACAAAAGTGTTTATAGGATAGAATGATTGTCAGTGGTGTTCACTGATCTTCCCGATTCTCCTCTTTCTGAGCGCGGTCCCCAACCCCCTTGGAGCTAGGTGTGGCCCGGGATGTGCTCTGCTCAGTCCAAAGTGAGCTGCAACAATGTGTGCTGCCTGGAGCCAAAAGTCTCTAAGAGCCAGCCTGCGATGGGCGGCCTGTTTTTTCCTGATAGGAGCTCAAGTCCATAGGGAAAGCTCCTGAGCTTGGGGGTTGCTTGTTGCCACCTCCTCAATGATACAGCAGGTAGTGTGGACAACTGGGTCATCGAAGGCCCTTCTAAAGCATGAGAATGGGAATATTTCTAAAATGCACTACTGCACTTGTCAGCAGTAAGCGAATT